TGAAGATCAGTGGTTGTCTTGAGAAAAACTTCTATGTGTGGTGGGCATTGTAAGAGGAGCCAGCCCCTTTTTAAGGCATATTCTTTTTTATTTTTATTTTTTAAGATTTTATTTATTTATTTGACAGAGAGAGAGATAGCGAGATCAGGAACACAAGCAAGGGGAGTGGGAGAGGGAGAAACGGGCTTCCTGCTGAACAGGGAGCCCGATGCAGGGCTCGATCCCAGGATCCTGGGATCATGACCTGAGCGGAAGGCAGACGCTTAACGACTGAGCCACCCAGGTGCCCTGAGCCAGCCCTTTTTTTAGTGGAACACAGTGTTTTCTTTTTTCTTTCTTTTTTCTCTTTTTATTTTTTTGAAAAAGGACAGAAAACTGTGGTTCTTCAGACTTTGATGTCTAGCAGAGTTTCTAGAAAATGAATGAAGTGAGCCTGTCACTACATGGCAAATACCGGACAGTATTTATTGCCAAAGAAAACACGCAAGCCTTCTAGTGAAAATTAGATTTTGGAAAACACAAGTTCTCCCACCACTTAATGACTTTTCTCATGAAATGGGTAGTGATATTCACATGTGATTTTCTGATATGAAGAAATATATCAACCTTTTTAAGAGTGATATAAGCCAATAATATGTTCCAAATAGCTAATGTTACAGAATTTTTTGATGAGTAAAAGATCCAAAGTAAGACAGACAAATAGATTTTAATGTACAAAGAATGAGAAGTTTACATTCCATGTTGCAGCTAACCTTTGAGAAACTCTCATTTGTCAAGTTTTGGTGTGGTATCAAAGAAGAGTATCTACAGTTTTGGAAAGATTATTAAAATACTATTCCAGCTAAGTATTTGTGAAGTTGTTTTTTTCTTCGTATGCTTGTCATGTTGCAGCACATTGAAATCAGAAGTAGGGATGAGAGTCCAGATGTCGTCTATCAAACAAAATGTAAAACAATGCTACTCTTCCACTAAATAAACTGTGTTTTATAAAATAGAATTTTCTAAAATTCTGTTGTTTGCGTTAACATGTAAATGGGTTTATTATTTTTAAGTTAAAAGTGAATTAAGGAATAAATATTTAAATTGTTTTCATTTCCACTTCTAATATGGTAAACGTCCCTAGCTATACCCACATAAACAAAAGCTCTTTGAGGCCCTCAGTACATTTTAGAGTTAAAGAGTCCTGAGATCAAAATTTGACAAGCACTGGTCTAGGCTGGTCTCCTTTGGGGAGTACTTTATTATCTTATACATTGTACTTCTACTTAACCTGGAGGTTTTTCTTTCTTTAACACTTCTGAAATTGGGATGGCTGCTGTTTCAATCTAATATGCATAACTAACATTAATACTTCTTTAAGTCTCCAAAATCATATGTTGCTATTCGTTAAAAATCAGTGTATGATTTCTCAGTATATATAATTCTACTTAGGAAACAACAAATATTTTTCCTTTTACAAAATTGAGACTCACATTTTTATCTCCAAGTAGCTAGAAATGGAATTTGTTTTCCAATGAATTGCTGATTAATAGAACTAATTTCATCATTTGGGTAGTGAGTCAGCACTGACCCAGGCGCCAGGAAATTGTTCCTGAGCTCCTCCTGTCATCTCGCTGAGCCTCGGCTTACTCATCTGTGAGGTGAGTCACATGTTCCTCTGTTGTGATTAATGTAGAGTCTCATTTAAAAAAAAAAAAAAAGACTCATCATTGCAAGTTAAATCAGTGGTTCTAATCCAAGGTTACTTAGGTGTGTGTATAAACTGGATAAAAATGCCTTATTGTTTTCATGCAACCATAAAACCAAGAAGAAATTATAAACCAATACAAATGCAAATCTCACACCATCAGTGTGTTGCTGAGTCTGAATCACAGGCACCATGAATGTAGACCAACGCTGTGTGGCCCGGGGGCTTTGCATTTGGACCTAGTGATGCTGCTGGTGTGCACTAGGATTCAGTTCTTTCAGCGCATTGAACTGCAAGAAAACCTTGATTTCAAGATCATTATGGTATCATTTGGCATTCTTTTATGAAGAACACATTGTTTACAAGAACACATTGTTTACTTTTTTAAATTGAGTTTTCTCATTAGCCTGGGACTCAAATCACCTTCCTGCATGTGACTGTGAATAGAAATGTAAATATGGGGCCTTGAAATTGCATCAGGGTACTTGCTTACTGGGTAGTACAAGCAAAAGATCCAGACTATATTATTTCCTTTTATGGACATCACTAAAATGAAAACGGAAAGTGTAAGGTGCAAAGAACTGACAGGAAGGGCTGGCTCATAGCGCCTCTCCTGGGACATCTGTCACACTGCGGGTCCTATACTTGCTGCCCCAGTGCAGTGCCCCACATCTACCCAGAAGGCTCCGCCTGCACGGTCTGCAGTCCTTGCTGCACCTTATCTCCTTTCTAGCCCCCCCTTCCCCCCACACACCTTCAGTTTCATGAGTTACAGATACAAGAGGCGAAGGCTAATTATTTTTGTCTGTTTCAGACTAATAGATTAACACAGTGATCATGTCCCATCAGAAGATTCATCCTTATATGCAATTTATTTCTTCTGGGAAAAATTTTCAAAAGCAAGCATAAGAAGCTCTTTTCTTTTGTCTAAGCAAATTCAATGAAATTATGTAGTTCCTGAATTTATTTTGGGGTGGAAATGTACTTTTATGTGATTGTTTTATTGTGGTCATTACTTCTGTTCCATTTTTAGAGACCATCTCTTGTGAGTAGTGCTTCTTTTAGATTTACACACAGATGCACACATACATGCTCACGTGCAGGCACGCGTGCACACACACACACAGAAGTTGAGGTGTGTAGAGTTCCTTAACAACTAAATAATCAACAGCCCAGTAACTGGAAAGCAACAGGACTCATATCCAAGAAGCAGTATTATAATTGGTCAGAACTGTTTTATTCTTTCCCCTCCTGTTTTTGCTTTTCTGCTAACATTTTTGATTTGATGAATCTAGGAACAGTTTTGTTATTTGGGAGGGAAGTCTTTTTTTATAGTAAGAGCATTGTAGTATTAATACACATAGATTCTTAGATGTATATTTTTGTGAACTTGTTTTGAGAATGACTATATAGTTCTTGGTGTGTTGTGTTTTTGGGTGCAATGTATAAGCAGTAAGGGCCATCACAAGTTTTTTACTTATACTTAAAAATTGGAAATTATTCTTCTCTATAATTTTCATGTGTGTGTTTCTCCCAGCAAATTAAGATAACTACTAACAATATTAAATTAAATGTTCAGCATATCTTTTTCTGGTAATATTACCCAGGCTTTCTTATTATCAAATCCTCATGATGTAGAAGCACATGTTAAAAGCAATATTTTATTCATATGCTTCTGTTTCCTCTGATCATTTCTAATTTGTTTTAACATCTTGGAGACTATTGGATTGACAGTAGTTTAAAGATCACCCTCAGTATGTAGAGTCTGTTTTTAGTTGAGCATCCATCCTTTAGGATCTGTATAGCCATACCATTAATCAATTCATCAATGTTCCAAAAATGTTTTTCATAGAGTAAATCATGAGTTTATTCCACCATTAAAGCGTTTTGTCAGAAACTGTTTATTTGAGAGGATGAGAGGTGGGGGAAGGGGCAGAGAGAGAGGGAATGAGAGAATCTTAAGCAGCGCAGAGCCCCACATGGGGCTTAGTCTTAAGACCCTGAGATCATGACCTGAGCCAAAAACCAAGAGTCAGACACTTAACCGACTGAGCCACCTAGGCACCCTTTTTAGAGACTTTTTAGAAATATTTACCTTGCATTCTAGTTTTTGAAAACGGATTGTCTCTAACATTATTTATTTAGTTTTTAACATAATTTAAATTTTTCATCTTATATTTAATGTTTTTGAGTGATTTTGCTCAGTTGGTAAGTGGAGTTTTTGGTTTTGATTCCCAGTGTTACAGACTCCTGTGCTTTTGTTCTTATCTCTGGTTTTATAGTTCTGTTCCTTCTCCGCTATATCAATGATTGTATCTGCTAAGATGTGCTCAGTGCTATTGATACAAATATTAACCTGAGTTTGTTAATGATTGTGTTATCGCAGTTGCAAACACACCCCTCTCTTAAGTGAATACAGTTGCTGAAACACTGTCTTTCATGTAATTGTGTATGTGGGTATATGCCAGATACCTGTATATTAGCATATTACTTTCAAGATTTCCATTATCTTAAGGATGAGAAATGTGTTTTTGCTCTATATTTTCTGATAGTACTTCTTTGAACAAGATAATTATCTTATTTAACAGAATTCTTTAATAGATGAGCCAAGAAATTTAGATTGTGTATTTTTAATCCCGACATGGTTAAAAGTTAGATAAAGTTTGTTCCATGGCTCACATCGCTATTTCTACTTTAGGATATGTATGATATATATCTTTTAAAAGATTTATTTATTTATTTGAGAGAGAGAGTGCATGCATGAGCAAGAGGGGCAGAGGGAGAGAGGGAGAGAGACTCTCAAGCTGACTTCTCACTCAGCAGAGTGGGGCTTGATCTCACAACCCTGAGATCACGACCTTAGCCGAAACCAAGAGTCCAACGCTGAATCAGCTGCGCCACCCAGGCGCCCCTGTATATTGAGTATGCATGGAGTGTCAGGTACTGTTTTAAGCACTTAATCCCATTTTGTCCTCAAGATACCCTTATGGAAGAAGGAGGGTTTTATTGCATAGGAAGAGACTAGAAGCAGAGTCTAGTTAGGCGACTTGCCCAGAACCAGACAGATACTAAGTTGGTGAAGCACAAATATGAGCCTGGGCAGTCTGACTCCAGAGCAGGTTATCCCATGCATACTACATGTCTTTTGCCATTAAGTGTTTTAAAGGAACTAATGGAATTTCTATTTAGAATGGTGACCCACTGTCACCTAAGTGTTAGTCTAATCTTTTGGATTTCACTACCTTTATCCTAACATGTAGTTTTCAGACATTAGTTACCTTTTAAAAAATATAATGCTTTTTTGTATTTATAGATATGCCTCTTCATGTCCGACGAAGCAGTGACCCAGCTTTAATTGGCCTTTCAACTTCCATTAGTGATAATAATTTTTCTTCTGAAGAGCCTTCACGGAAAAATCCCACACGCTGGTCAACAACAGCTGGCTTCCTTAAGCAAAACACTGCTGGGAGCCCTAAAACCTGTGACAGGAAGGTAACCATTTCTATTTTGTGTCTTCTTAGTATCAATGATGAATGTCAGCTGCTGACTGGATCCTTTGCTTCTAGCCCATCTTCATTATGGCCCTTTGTGTGTGTGCGTATCACCTGCATCAAAGTTTAGATGACTTCTTATTTTATATTGCCCTTGCATTTTATGATAAAATTCATTCTAATAGATTTATTTATGTATCCGTTTTTGAATAGATAATATATTTATGATTAAAAATGAAATCTTTTGACATGAAACGTGTACATGTAAAGTCCATCTCCTACTTTGTCTCCTAGTCACCTGTTTTCCTTCAGGGGTAATCCCCTTATTAGCCTTTTGCATGTACTTGCAAAGATATTTTCACATGTATTGGCAGATATTCCTGTTGGTTCATGAGGTACATTAAAGAAGTTATAGCATTATGGACTTCTAAGGATGAAAGTAGAATCCATAATCTATTCTATTGACAAATTTTTCTTCCTAGAGAAAGGAAGTGTACTGCCTAGTCTTAATAACATTTTCTTCTTTGAGCTAATTTATTTCAGTCCATGACCTAATTTATTTAGTCTAAAAAAATAAACTTTATTCTATTTTTTTGAGCCCTTATCATCCCATTCTGTTATACCTCTAACCTTTTACTCAATGAGCTTTAAGCTGTGTTTGTCATTTTCACTGCTGAATCTGTAGGGTCTCAGTAAACATCTATTGAATGAATTAATTTTTTTTCAATGCAGACAGTAATTGAGCACCATGTGTATGTTGAACTATGCTAATTACATATTAATATTAAAGTGAATATAGCTTAATATTTGATTTATCCTTTGCATTTATGTGAAAGTACCTGTTTTAATTTTTTTTTTTTTTTTTTTTTTTTTTTTTTACTTGTTGCATTTCTACAAACACTCTTTTGTAGTAGTTCATTTCAGGAAAAAAATACATAGAGCATCTAGAGTACCTTAACTAGGAAGAATCTACCAGGAAAAAACAGTGTGCTGTAGTCTCTGATTTTTTGGATTAAGAGTTTAACTGTTAGGCTTACTTTTCTGAAATATTTCATTACATATTTGATGAGGAATCAAGTTGGAGTATCTTCTCATTGAGATTAGCTTGAAATTTTAGAATGCTTGATCATGAAGTAAACCATCCAAAGAAGCAGAATCCAGTTTATGAATAAGCCTCATGACAATTAATTTGTGTTCAGAATAGATTTAATTTACATGGATATTTAGAAGTGTATAAACAAGTAGAGTTGACAGTTTAAAAAAATGCATAATTGAAAAGGTTTTCACATGGTTTAAGGATAGTGGGTCAGAAGTCATTGAGGTAATCAGGGTTTTCTTTTTAATTCCTCCCACATCCTGGGTATGTGAGTCAGCTTCAGTTGCACAAAACAGAACCACAGTGGCTATTTTAAACATAAACACAAACAAACTTAATACTTAGAATTGGAATCTCAGAAAATCATTGGAGGAGCTTGAAGAGCAGGCTGTAGGCTGGACCTCCAAGGACTTTCTGAATAATGCAGTAGAGCACATCTTCCCAGGAGAGAAGTAAACTGAGATCCTTCCCCCTGTATCTGCCCATCTGATGCTAGTGCCCTGTCTCCAGTTGTGCTCACCTTGTCTCTTGTCACTTGTGAAGCTAGGACTGAAGCCAGAAATGCCTCAGCCAACTTGATCCTCTCCATCACCAGGCTTGCCCCTCACAACACAACAGCCCAGGACAATTCCCTCTTTCACAACCATCATTTAAATGTCAGGCTCTTGTATGCAAATGTGCAGAATGCTGTTTTCCTCTAGATCCTTACGTGTAGTGGAGATTTAGGAAATGGACTTTGGCCTTCCAGCTGAGGCAGAGCGGGGCTGCTGCCAGAGCCTGTGGTGCACACTGTCAATTAGTAACCTCACTGAGTGTTTGTTTTAAGTAACATGTATCTATCATTGTAACAAATTTGGGAAACTAGTGCAATACAAAATTAAATTATTTATAATGCTAAAATTTAGCAACACCTAGTGTTACGATAATAAGGAATACACACACAGATGTACATACACATACTGTCACACACATATATGTACCCACACACAGTTGGAGTCATACTGTGTCAACACTTGCATCCTTATTATTTCTACTTTTTTTTCATATCATAGGGATTTCCCCTGGTGTGAATTTTATTGGAAATATATATTTATCGGGGCAGGGGGCAGAGGGGGAGAGAGAGAGGGAATCTTAAACAGGCTCTATGCCCAGTGTGGAGCCCAACTTGGGGCTCAATCTCACAACCCCTGAGATCATGATCTGAACCAAAATCAAGAGTCAGACGCTTAACTGGCTGAGCCACCCAGGCACCGCCCTGAAAAATATTTTTAATGGATGCAGAATATCTCATTGTAAAATATACTTTATCATTCTCTTGTTGGACATTTATACTATTTTCATTTTTTTCACATAATAAATATAAGTGTTGCAAGACAAATTTGAATGTAGCTTTGTTTTAAAAATGGTTATTCAGGGGCACCTGGATGGCTCAGTTGTTAAGCGTCTGCCTTCGGCTCAGGTCATGATCCCAGGGTCCTGGGATCCAGCCCGGCATCAGGCTCCTTGCTCAGTGGGAAGCCTTCTTCTCCCTCTCCCACTCCCCTGCTTGTGTTCCCTCTCTTGCTCTGTCAAATAAATAAATAAATAAATAAAATCTTTAAAAAAAAAAAAAAGTTATTCATGGGCGCCTGGGTGGCTCAGTTGGTTAAGCGACTGCCTTCGGCTCAGGTCATGATCCTGGAGTCCCGGGATCGAGTCCCGCATCGGGCTCCCTGCTCAGCAGGGAGTCTACTTCTCCCTCTGACCCTCTTCCCTCTCGTGCTCTCTATCTCTCATTCTCTCTCTCTCAAATAAATAAATAAAATCTTCTAAAAAAAATTAAAAAAAATGGTTATTCATTCAATAAGCTTTTTCCTATGTGGAACAGTTTTTAATGTAGCCAAATGCCCACACTTCCTCATAGAAAAGACCTTGATTTACCTCTACATCTTTAGATGAAATCATGTTTGCATACAACACACATAAAGGGTAATGTGTAATGAATTTGTCCTTTGAATTATCTTTGGCTTTACTTTTCAACTACCCATTTCCTAAGCTTGCTGTCAAAATTTTAAGCTGTTTGTATTAAAATCTGAGAGATTTTCTTTTTTGTATGTGTATATTGCACTAAATGCTATCTTATTTTCATTTATAAAACGACTTCCTGTATTTTCAGCATTCAGAACGGGTACTTGGAGGAAAGTATACTTGCTGATCAGTATTAACTTGATTTACTTCTCTTGAGGCCATAAGAGCTTGCCTATGCTGGGCAATTTCAAGATGTTACACATTTTTATGAGTATGTAGTGGCTTAGGTTTTCTGTATAAATGCACTGAAATAAAGGAGTTAAGGATTCATAGTCTTGTGATGCATTGATCTCTAATAGTTAAAATTAAGTTGACATTCTTGTATAACTCATCAACATAGTTAAGTGACCACTATTCTAAGTTGATGAGCAAAACAAACAGTTTTGGAATAATGTCACCAATTAGTTGAAATCTGTTATTTCTGAACTAGGCAGTTCCATTCAAGTATCTTGGAATGCTACCATGTTGAACTTGCTCCTGTGGCTCAAAACCAAAATGAGAGACGGAGTCTTCCCAGTTAATGTAGTCATTCCACTATTAAATTTAGAGGGCAATGTAGACAGATTTTGGTGCAACTAAACCAGGTGAGAGCTTGGAGAGACCAAGGGTTCTGTGGGCTTCTGTGGGCTTCTGTATTTCTTACAATTCTTCATTCTTTAATTTGGAAGTGAGATGTAGAATAGAAGATAGTCTTGGATTTTTTTTTTCTTTTGTTTATTAACATATAATGTATTATTTGTTTCAGGGATACAGGTCTGTGATTCATCAGTCTTACACAATTCACAGCGCTCATCATTGCACATACCCTCCCCAATGTCCATCACCCAGCCACCCCATCCCTCCCACCCCCTCCACTCCAGCAACCCTCAGTTTGTTTCCTGAGATTAAGAATCTCTTATTGTTTGTCTCCCTCCCTGGTTTCGTCTGGTTTCATTTTTCCCTCCCTTCCCCTGTGAGAGTCTTGGCTCTTTAAAAAAGTTCGTTGGAACATTGACTCACTTCTGTTGCCCCGCATTTTGTGGCTGATTGCTTTTTCAACTCTCTTAGCGAACATTTTGCTCACACTTAATATGGAAGGTATATTGCTAGAAAATGTATTTTCATTTGAGATTTTACACGTGCTTAATATTTCATCTTTGGAAAGAGTATTTCAATCACTGTGAACACTTAAATCATTTTGCCACCTCTTTGGTCATCCTTATTAAGTCATTGTCCCTGCAAATAAAGTCTAACTAGTATGTGGAGAGCATTTGATTCATTCCATCAAGAACAATGTATTGAGGCACTTACCAGAATCAGCCAACCATGAAGTTTCAAGGATAAAGTCTGTGCATTATTTCATTGTGCACTGGTTGTAAGCCATTATTCCTTTCCCCCAAAGACCAAGAGCTGTTACTTTTCTAAGTTATCTGCCCCTTTCATCGACCCCCCTTCCCCTGCCCCACCAAATAAAATTTACATGGGTAGATAAAAACAAAGGTAGCATTAAGAACATATCTTGATGTTAGGGTAAAGGGAAGAAAGTAATAAGAGAACGTGTTATATTAGCATCAGTATCTTGTACATTTTTATTTTTAAAAGTTCTTTTTTTAGTTTTTCAAAGAATTTATTTATTTATGTGTCAGAGAGAGAAAGAGTGCACAAGCACAGGGAGTGGCAGGCAGAGGGAGAAGCCGACTCTCCGATGAGCAGGGAGCCTGAGCAGGGAGCCTGACGTGGGACTCGATCCCAGGACCCTAGAATCATGACCTGAGCCGAAGGCAGACGCTTACCCGACTGAGCCACCCAGGCATCCCTATTTTTAAAAGTTCTTAAAAAGAGACCTTAGAATATTTCTG